ACTTTTTTTTCAATCGCTAAGAATCACTAGGAATATAAATTATCATTAGTGAGCTTCAAAATATATGTCCGTTTATTATCTCATTAAAAAGCGTTCCATCCTGCCCTCTGACTCCCTTTCCTGTTTTCTACAAATCATACCCTATACTATACTGTCCCTCTTGCAATCAGCCATTTTCTGTGGTTTCCTGCAGTCTGTCCTTGACTCTTTTTGTGGCCTCCTTGCTTTCCAATTTACTATTTCTAATCAGTTCTAAGAAGTGAGGTGATGAGATATGTTTCTGTGTCTGAAAAAGCAAAGCAACAAAAACAAAAGGAACAAATTCTAGAAGGGTCTTGAAAAATAAGGTGCATAAAGCCTTATTACAAAGATATTCTTGAGACTGTTCCCAGAGGTTGAGGCAGTCAAAAAGCAGTGAGTTATTGTTTGAGGATCTCTTTAAAATGCAAAATTTTTGGCCAAAACCATTTCACAGCTATTTTATTTTTACAGTAATTTTTTTCTAAAACCAGGTATCTTTAAATAGTAAGCTGGAAACTGCCTATTCTATTGATTCTCTAACTTAACAACTAATGCTGCAACTTGAAATAAAAATATAAGTGTTAATGAAGCATTATCAAATCAAATCATTTTATTTGTTTTACGATATTATATTTTAAATGAATTTGATTACAAAATTGCCTTTTGCAACTCATTAATGGAGGTAGTCCACAGTTTAAAAAAAAGGGAAAAGATAGCTTCTTGGTTAGTAAAAAGGTTCCTGGAAACAGAAGTTTTAAAACACCATTTTTAAAGTGAACTAGCAGAGAGTGATGAAGTCTGCCAACTTGTTGCACAAGTGAACCTGAGTTTATACTCAGTAATGGGGTAGGTCACAACTAGAATAGTCAAGGCAGACATTACAAAATACTTTTTAAGGTATTATCCAAATATAAGAAACAGCTGGAGTCAGAACTAGGGCAGAGCCAATTAGGAAAGAGGACCGTGGCAGCAGAAATGGCCAGAACCACCATCTGTCTTTAAGTCACACGACCAATACCCAGACCCACAGAGGTCCTGGCTCAGCCCTACTTCCTCTGAGGACCCAGACTCATGGCTGGATCTCCGGAAATGTCTGTTTCCTGCCTATTCCCTTGGAGGTCCCAGGTTCACTCACACCCAAACTGGCTGAGGTCCTGGCTCAGGCCTAGTTCCTGGGAGGTTCTAGACTCACGTCCAGACCCGTCGAAGTCCTGGCTTAGGTCTATTCTCTTGAAGTTCCCAGATTCACATTTGGATCCTCAGCGGTCTCTGGCTCTGGATCACTTGCTCAGCGGTTACTCCCTTATACCTGTTCTAGTGGAGATTGCAGACTCTGGATCTGGCTCAGTCCTGATCTGCCAGTATCCTAGGACTGGGTCTGCTCCCAGGGCTGGATTTGCTCCTGGCTTCTGCTTCTGGTGGAGCTTGCTCTCTCTCTGTCCTAGGTGGCTGATTCTGTCCACTCAGGTTCTGGTGATCAGTGACTCTGAGTCAGGTCGCCGGCTCAATCCTGATCCACCAGTGTCCAAATTTCTCAGCCTTCCTTGTGTGAGTGAGGGGGTCTCATACCAGTTTACTGAAAAAGTAGCTACATCATGAAAATCCTCCCTGAGCATGGTGGACAACTACCCGGAGCTGCTGAGATGGAATCCCACCCTCAGCTTACAGTCCACCCTGTATTTCCTCTAGCACACTGGGAGATGACACAGCTGGAGCAGAATAACATGCAACAGGGATGGGATGGCAAAGGGAGTGAGCAGACTCTGCTGAGGATCACCTGTGCCGAAGCATCTCCAGCTGGATTCTGTGCGTCCTTTGTAGGCAATCACAGCCGCTCTGATTAAGATGTCACATTTAAGGAGATCTCTGAACACTGGCTCAGGTTCTCCTTTTAGGTGTAAGATGTTTGGATGAATGTGAGGAGAAGGGCTAAAGATTTTTAGTGAAGAGATGCACGCTCCATGCAGCCTTGACAAGAGAGTATAATAATATTCCTGAGAACCACTAATCAAGTGCTAAAACCAGTGTCCGGGTGATATCAGCCAGGTCCCATTCAGCTTCTTGTTCCTGTTTGAAGGGGCGCATGAGGATTAAGAGATGGCAGGTAGGAAAAGTAAAGACATAAAAGCAAAGACAGAGACATAGGATGGAGTTGGGAAGGCATCCAGTAAATACTGAATTCACCCACATTTATTTCACATAGTCTTTATGTATCCCAATCCAAACAGGAGGGGGATAGCAAAAGACTTCTTTATCAAGATGCAAGAGACAAACAAATCACCTCCTCAATACCCAAATCATCAAGGGACCATGCCCTAGGTAAAAGCGTCCTGTTAGTAACCACACCCTGGGTGAAACCTCCTAGCATAACCTTGAAGGTGTAGGTATAGGCCAGACCTCTCTGACCTTTGGTCAAGGTAGAATGGATCCACATCGGTGGACACTGACACTCAAGGAAGAGTTTATAGCCATCATGGGCTTTGTCTGTGGATGTCTGTCAGGTGTTCACAGTCAAGTAGACCTGTAGCAAGAGTGAATAGTGAATGTTACTGCAGTTCATGCGCAAAGCACCTCACAAAGATCTATTTTCATGAATCAAGAGAATTCTCCACCCACTGGGAAAAGCAAAAAAAGGGGGGGGATGTGGGGACATTTTTCACTATAGTTTTGTTTAAAAATTATTGAAAATGAAGAGAAGAAGAGCTTTAAAATTAACCCACTCGTGGGTGGGGAGAAACTAGGAGGACTGGCGGGAGAGGAAATCATGATTAGAATATATTGTAAGAAAAGAACCTATTTTTAATTCAAGAAAAAAGAAAGAAAGGGAAGGTGGACCTATTCTGGAAGCCAATATTCTCTGCACATTCATTTATTATATTAAAAATGTCCACAGTTCAGATTCTGATCAATCCTCCACCTTTCAAAAGAGAAATACGGGCCCTTTTACATCTAGAAAATCTACTTGTTTTCTACTTGGTGCATGGGTTTTATTGTTAGTTTGGAGCAGCCTGTCCTGGAGACAGATCTAGTTTACCTTTAGAACCTTAGTGGAAAGACTGAATGAGGGCACAGATTATTCCCTGTAAGACCTAGTCTGAAACCTTTTCCCAGTTTCTTCCTACACTGCATGTAAGTAAATAAAACATTCCAGAAAATACTCTCTTTTCTGGAGTGGTTGCCATGGAGCTTACAGCAGTCACTTCTTCCACATGCTCCCAGCCATACCTGTGGGTGGGGGAGGGGAGCCTGCATGGGACATCAACTGTGAGTGACAACCCTCTTCTCAGAATAGTCTTTGTGTGTTCACAGTAGAAAGATGCCATAACCGCTCAAAGGCATAAAAACTTCCAAGAACTGCTTAGGGAGCCTAGCAACAAACTGTAGAGTACAGGAGTCGCTGCCAGCAAGGAGGACCTTACAGGTGTGGGCTCCATACTGGTTGTGGGGCAATTCACAGGTGTATAGTCAACCTGCCAGTGGACACACCCCTAAAGGAACAGACACTCCCTACCCTAGCAATCAGAAACTTTCCAAAGGGTCTAAGCTAATGGTGGGGGCTCGTGGCTCCTCCCCTCCATGCTGGAATGTTGACTGGCTTGATTGCCTGCAGGCAGCCACAGCTGCTGTGATGTCTGGAATGCTTTGGTCCTGTCATGGCAAGAAGACATGATTTTGCTCTAATTCCCCCGGACGGTTAGGTGTTCAATCCCTCCTTCCCTCTTCCACAATGACCACTGAGTTTTAGGAGAGGATGACACAGATGCCCCATTTGTGCCTGAGTACCCCACTGATGCACGCTCTTTTTACATTGCACTTGTTGCTCGGACCTGGAATCAGTTCCCAGCAGCCACACAGGGACAAGAACCTGTAACTTCAGTACCAGAGAATCCAAGTCTTCTTTTGGCCTCCACAGGCACAGCAGACACATGATGCACAGAACAGCATTCAGACAGAAACATTAGAGACACTAAATAAAATTGAATCAAAGAAAAGATACATTTAGAAGGCGATTTGATAGTATTTCCATTTATCAGGTAATAGTAATAGGATCACTCTCAGTGCCTATGAGCTCCCCAATCAAGGGTTCTTGGACAGATATAGAGAAGCAGGTACGAGTTTCCTCCTGTGCAGCAGACAGTAAATCTGATAGAAGGCAGTTGGTAATTCCCGTAACATTTATATCACTAATGAATCTATAGGTCATTATTGTAGGTCACAGGATTCACAGCCAGGTAAGGCTGTCCATAAGTCCCACCCCAGAACCCTACCTCTCTAGTACCATCAAAGCAAGCCAGTAGAGTGGCAGCTTCTTGCTTAGTACCAACTTGATTTCTCCTGTCATGTGACCAATGGATGTGTGTGTTGTCTTTAGTAACAGGATCTTGCTGTCAATTTTTGTTGGGCTACCAGAGCAGTGGCAAGAACCTGTACAGTTTTGGGCGTTCTCCCAGACACCCTTGACTTACAAATTTGGTGGAGGAATCCCATACCTGGAATTCAATTTTTGTTTGGTAAATTATTGCTTCTGAGAGGAACGCTAGTCTCTATGTAGGGTAACACCAATTAATATATTTTTATATGAATATACATATATATCATAAAATAATTACTTTTCAAAAATCTTTGTTTTTAACCCCCACTCCCAATTCTTCCTTTACCCTCTCCTCCATCCTTCTCCTCACGTAATCCCCTCCAACTATTCCCCTTCCCTAACCCATTTTTCCTTTGTTTTACAATCTGCTCTCTGACTAAGATCTTCCTTCTCTCTCCCACAAATGGTACTTTTCTGAATTCCATAGCTAGTCAAAATTAAACACAAATCTAAAATGTTGACACTAAGATTTACAATGAATTCTAACATATGACCTTTATCTTTCTGGGTCTGGGTTACCTCACTCAGCATGATTATTTTCTGCTTCATTCAATACCTGAAAATTCCATAATTTTATTTTTATAGCTGAATAAAATTACATCATACATAGGTACCACATTTTCATTATTTATTCATCAACCGATGGAATATAATCTCTTTCCATATCCTAGCTATTGGGAATAAAGCAGCTACAAATATAAATGAGGTTATGTCTCTACAGTAGGATATAAAATGCTTGGGCTATTTACCAAGGAGTTGTACATTTCCAAAGGTCATATGATAGATAGGTTGTTAATTTGGGGGACAGTGGCATGCTGATCAAGGAAGAGAATTTGGGGGGCAGGCTGAAGGAAGACGTGTGGTCTGCAAGCAGAAGAGGGACAAGCTGGGGAAATAAGAAAACTAGCAACAACGATAGGGGTGGAGCAAGAAGTGCAGAGTGGGCAGCGGAAATAAGAAAAACTCTAATGACACGTCTAAGAAAAGGCTGTAATGAAACCTTAATAAATGATTAATAAAAACCCACAGAAGAAACTGGGGTTCAACCCGAAGACTAGAAAAACAAAGCAGCCAGCCCCTGGCCCTTACATCAACCTCAGTTCGAAAATGGTGATCCCTGCCTCCAGGAATCTGAGAACGGTACTGTGACTGAGAGCTGTCTCCTCCCGTTTTATAATCCTCTCGATAGCTGGGATTTAAGGCATGCACCACTGGGATAAAAGTCGTGCACCGCCCGGTGTTTATGGCAAACTAGTGTGGCTACTGGGATTAAAGGTGTGTGTTACTATTTTCTGGTCTGTAAGGCTGATCACTGGGGCTGGTTTGCTCTCTGATCTTCAGGCAAGATTTATTTATTAAAATACAAATGAAATGCTGCAACACTGTCTCTTGAAAATAATCTATCAAAAGACATTGAATTCTTAGTGAGAAGTTTCAAAGCTCAGAATTCTTAGTGAGAAGTTTCTTTTTAACAGCCTAGGCATTAGACATAATGCTGTTTCTTGATTTATTTTCACTGCTATGCGTAGGAAGAGGAAAAGGTTCAATCTTCCACCAAGAAGACTGAGCTCACAACCTCCTCAGCAGATAGATGTAGCTTTTACTTCCCCAGTGTCTTTCCTGTGGAAGGAAATGTCAGACATTTTAGCAAATACTTGAGAATGAGCGAACAGAGAATTGGATGCACAGTGATTAGAACAGGGAGGGATGGATCGGTTCAATGTGGGAGTAGTCCACCCTCAAATGCCTGCTCTACAAGGTAGTGTCTTCCCTCACAAGGCAGTGGGCACTAGCACATAGGTGTTCTTGACAGAAATGCTAAAGGCAACTCAGACAGTAAAGGAGGCAGACAAGAGTTTAAGGTTTCTTCCAAGCACGAGATTTTAGAACTCTAGGAAATGCACATGCAAGAATGTGAAACTGCAGATCCAAATCTTGGAGCTGAAGTGTTCATGTACATTATTCTTAAATTGTGTGTAAATTATTTTATAAGTGCTCTCTTGGGTGGGATCATTTCTCTGTTCTGTCATTCCTGCCCTCTCTGGGATGCGTGGGTCTTTGTGTGGACCCTGGACAAAGTGGCACCAGAGAAATCTCATGACTCCCACAGTGTACCTGTTTCCATAGACAGTAGGGGAGTCAATCATTTATCCACACCTTGCAGAAGTGACATCTTATGTTGTTGGATCTCTCTCCATACTTCTCTCTCTAAGGACCATAGATTCATCTTGAGCCAAAGACTCTGTTTCGATTTCCAAGGAAATGGCTTTGTAATATTAAAATTTGAGAACATAAAATCAAATGTTTCTCCTTATTATATTTGTACAGTATGCTACACAACTCTATGTCTTTTTCCATTGTGTTTATATAGCATCCCACATGTGTCTATGTCCTCAAAAATAGGATGCTTTTATTTGGAAACAACTTCTGTGGAATATCCCTTTTTCTGCTCCAGGCTCTCAGATCTGGCTTGGGCCTCCTGATCAGAGCTCAACGTGCTTCCTCTGGGTTGACCTCTCTGCTGCCTCTTTGGCCCTGAGCTCAGTCCAAAAGGCCACTTACTTGTCTTTCAGCCCATGAGCTGCCTGTGTTGGGACTCCAATCTGCAGGTACCGTTCCTTCCGGTCATATTGTGGCCAATGGGGCAGCCCTTCCCCATTGGGGTTCCTGTGAACAGAATAAAAAGAGAAAGTCACCAAATCAGCTACGCTGTCCCTATGGTTCTCAGAGATGTGCAAGAATGTGCTAGCTTATCTTTGCCAAGAAACCAGTAATCTTCCACAGATGGACAGATCTCTAGCTCCTGGGACAGTTCTCTCTCTCTCTCTCTCTCTCTCTCTCTCTCTCTCTCTCTCTCTCTCTCTCTCCCACCTCTCTCAAATCTTGTTATGATTTAAATTTTACATTTTCTGTAAATCCTCCTGTGTTACAGATTGATACTATCTGGGAGCTAGTGGAATAGAAGGTGGGGAATAGTTGGAAAAACCAGATCACGAAGTCTTTGAACAGTGCTGGGGTTCCATTCTTCACGTCACAGCTTCCTGATGGGCAAGCATTTAACTGGGGCCTTCATTATGTTGTTGCAGTAGCATGTCAGCAGGCACAGCACCAGCGTGGTAGCTGAAATGCTCCATCCTCACGCGCAGACAGAGAGACTGCATCTGACTTTTGAAACGTCAAGGATTTTGTTGGAGGAGTGACATACTTCTTCCAACAAGACCACACCTCCAAATCCTTCTAATCTAAGCACATGGTGACTGGGCATTCCACTATATGAGCTTATGGGGGTACATTTTTCTACCCATATATTAATATAGGTATTATTTTATTAATTTATACCCAGAACCCAAGAGATGACACAGAGTGTGCCGGCAGCAAGACCTTAGGAAGAGAATACATTTCCAAGCTTTTCAGAGCCCATGTCTGTCAACAGATTTCTGGATGTTTGAAACGGAGATTAAAGATTTAAATGCTTCTCTCTTAGATTCTGGACTTGCTTTGGTTGGAATTTTCCCGTTCCTCTTTTGAGAATAGGAACATTTGGCTTTTGTCCTTGCATCTTGGAAATTTGTTACTTTTTTATTTGTGTTGTTTCTCATAGCAAAGGTTTACCTGAGCCTAGGAAATCTTTGAACTTGGATATCAAAGCAATGTTAAAAGTGTTAAGTTAGGAATTTGTGGGGATGCATTTTTGTGCTGTACATGAATTTCTGGGGATTGTAGCAGGTTATAATTTAGAGCTTAATACTACCCATAAGCTCATGGATTGAAGCCTTTATCCTCACCTGATGGTGCCACTGGGGCATAACAGAAAGGTAATAAAGAAGGACTTGCTGGAGGAGGATGATCATGGGTGACTTGCCTGAGGATAGTGTTAGGATCCTGGCCTTTTGCTCCCCTTCATAAGCATCAGGAGGTAAGGTGCTTTGCCTTACATATGATCCCCACACGGTGTTCTCTTCTGACACTAGAGCTCATAGGCACAAGGATCAAAGCTTGAAACCTCTCCTTCTGAGCCCAAGTTCACATTCTCACCTCATGTTGAAGTACCACAAATCATCCAACTGCACAGCAGGTTAGCCCAGCTCTCACTGGACTGCTTTGGTCCCAGGGTTAGAAGGATGATCACTCAAACTCTAGAAAACTACTCCATCCTCTTAGGTAGGACCCAGGGCACTACACCTTCAGGTCTGGCAATATTGCCCCCAGCCTCACCCATTCCGAGCAAAGTTGGCCCAGAATTTCATCACCATCCTGCTGAGATTGATCTCCTCTTCAGAGGCGCCATCTGTGGGGAAAAAGATATAAAATTAACCTACTTTACTTAAGGTGTGGTTAATGAGCTAAAAATTAACCTACATAACCTAAGATTTGGTTGATGAGCTGCAACAACATCACAATCTGAGCCCCATTAATAAATGTAATCTTGAGTATGAACACATCGGGCTGAATGTGTCCGATCGATCCTATGATCCTAATCCCTGAAGATACATGGGGTCAGGCCTGGTTAATATTTGAATGGGAGAAATGCACTCTTGACCTATATCACATATTCACTAAGTCAAAAATCTGCCTTTTAAGAAGATCTTTGTGAGTGTGCCTTCGATTTAAAGTTAAGAGGAATGTTTCAGATACCCTATGCCTTTCTCTCTCATATTGACCTGTCTGGCATCCATCTCCATAGGGGTCCAATGGCAACCAGACTCAATTTCCCCAGTTTTACCCCCAGAGTTGCTGCCCTTAGGTCTGTTCTCAACCTCCTACATATACAGCTCTTCATAGACTCTGAAAATAATCACAACTGGGAGATGCCCAGAGACACTGGTGTGCCATGAGGGACATACCATAGGTCACATCTTATATGTAATTGTTGAGAAGTAAGGTATTGAAGACCTTTGTGAAAGGTTCACTAAATATCATATCTTTAAGCATATTTAAGTTTACATTAAATATTAGATAGCTAGATAGGTAGGAACATGATAAGCCTTATTCAAAGTTAGAAAAATTTCTAACTCTTCCCTTACTCATATTCTAGTACTTATGGGAGGCAAATCAAATACTGGCATTCTTGTCCTAAAGGACCAGTGGGTGACTATGGTGGTCTGAATAAAAGTGGTCCCCAAAGGGAATAGCACTACTGGGAAGTGTGGCCTTGTTTGAGGAGGTGTGTTGCTGTGGAGGGCTTTGAGGTCTATCTTGTTCAAGTTTCTCTCAGTGTGACTGCCAGCTGACTTCCTGTTGCCTGCAAGATGTAGCACTCTCAGCTCCAGCACCACGTCTACCTGCACACGAACCACCATGCTCTGGGTCATGATGATAATGGACTGAACCTCTGAAACAGTAAGTGAGCCACCCCAATAAATTTTTTCCTTATAAGAGTTTCTGTGGTGATGGTGTCTCTCCACAACAACTAAGACAGTGACCCTCTAATTCTCTTATTGGTGTCACAGCAGGATTCTGAGAATGACTGTGGTTGGGGACACATCAACACAATCCCATTGTGTGCATTGAAGGAGAAAGGCTGGGGACTATCCTATAGCTGAGCCCCATTACAGAGCATCAGAAACACCATTTTAAAAGGAGACACTTGCTCAAGGCCATCAAGCAAAAATCCAGACCCAGTTCTCAGATCACTAAGGCCACAACCAGCAAACAGACCTTACCTTTTAAAAAGGGGGCTCCCAATACAGAGAAGAGATCATCACCATGGTCTCCTTCCATTGTCTTGGGTCTCATTTCTGATACAAAGCTTGGCCGATATTGAAACTCATACATGTAGGTAGGGGCTCCAGCATCTGGGGAGACATGGATTCATGCACAGTTCACATTTCCAGATATACACCTGGATAGAATCAAGGTCTTAGGCCCTGTAGTTATCATCACTCTTTGGCTTCAGAGAAAATAGCTTTAGGAAGTCCCAGTGATTTGTTTGGGTTTACACAGCTGGTTGATGTAGTCCTAAAATTTGAAGAAGATGCTTACTGAATGAACAGTGAATGGATCCACACATGCAGCGATTGAATGGGATGAGTGCCAGTCATGACTCATGTGTATTGATTCCTAGAAGATCTGGAACCTCATAGTTGCATCCTGCTTAGCTCTGGGCATTCGAAGAGTTTCTCAGGCATAAAGAAATGATGACACATAAGTAAGATTCTATTCTGAGATAGAATGATTTGTCTCTTGTGTTTCATAACTCCAACTTCATTGGTAGCCCAAGGGTAAGGTCTTTTTCTTTTTAAAGTTTTTTTTCAGAATATATATTCTGATGACAGTTTCCCCTCCTCCAACCCCTTCCTGATGCTCACCACCAAACCAAATCCACAGCATCTCTTTAGAAAGCAAACATACAAGCAAACAATCAGACAAACAAACCAAAACAGATCAGGACAAAAAAACGAGCAGGAAAGAACAAGAGTCAAAGGGGAAAAAAAAAAAACACAAAAACACATACAGACAAAGAGACACTCCACACATACAGAAATTCTGTATAAACACAAAATTGGAAACAGCAAAAATATCCAGACAAAACATTATCAGGGCAAAATATCTCCCTAATACCATTGGGTTAGTTTTGTCTCTGTCATCTAGAGCTGGGCTTAGGGACTACTCTTAAGAGTTGATTCCATACCTTATGAGACTGTTGGAAAAAACTAATTTTTCCTTTGTGGATGGTTATGAATTAGAGACAGCTTCTTGGCTAGAGAAGCGTGACTGTGTCCACATCCTCTCTCAACACTGGAACCCCATCTGACTTAGACCTGTGCAGCCCCTGTGCTGCCACAGTCTCCGTGAGTTCACATGTGCATCAAGGCTGTTGTGTACAGAAGACCTTGTTTCCTTGGCATCCTCCATCCCTTCTGGCTCTTATGGTCTTTCTGCCTCCTCCTTAAGGATCAGTTTTCTCTGATCCTTGACATGAGAAATTCGATGGAGACATCCTAATTAGGGCTGCATGTTCCAAGTGCTCCCACTTGCTGCATATTGTCTGATTGTGCTCTCTGTATTTGTTCCCATGTACTGCAGGAGGGAGCATCTCTGATGATCGCTAGGGAAGATGCTTATCTCTGAGTACAGCAGAATGTCATCAAGGGTCATTTTATTGCTACATTACTTTAGCAGAACAGTAGTATTTGGTTTTCCCCTAGGCCCACAGCCTATAAGTGGGTGTAAAACCGAAGTGCCTGTGCAAGGCAGACTTGCATTTCCTCCAAACTCTTCCCCCCTCTCCACTGACTCCTCTCTTACCAAAAAGAAGACCTGTTCAAGGGTCAAGATGTCATTATTTTGCTTATAGGGTTAATGGAGGCATCAATCTTTGCTCCTCATGTACCAGCCCATAAACCTCCAGCCTGGGAGCTTCAAGACAATGGTTTAATAGCAGAATAGATGCCCACATATTAGATAAAGTAGGGAAATTCAAAATGCTAAAAAAGTGTAAATTTACCTGAAAACATTCCTACTCTATTACAAGACATATATTATATATGCATACACATATATTCTTATAATTATACATACAGATACATATATACACCTTTATAATTTGTAATTCCGTTTTATCATCCATATACTTCATACATGTATTTAAGGTAATTTTTGTATATTACATTAAATAATATATTTTTTTTTATTTTTTGAGATAGGGTTTTTCTGTAGCTTCAGAGCCTGTCCTGGAACTAGCTCTTGTAGACCAGGCTGGCCTTGAACTCACAGAGATCCCCTGGTCTCTGCCTCCTGAGTGCTGGGATTAAAGGTTGTGCCACCACCGCCTGGCTACATCTCATTACTTTGTGCCATGAGGTGTCCATTGCAAGAAGTGATGGTGACAACACAGGTCATCACAACACAGGATAGGGAATATTTTAATTAACTCACAACTCTGTCACCATAGCTTTAGGCAATCCTGTGATTCTGTAATCCCTTTAGGAAACAGTTTCCAAGTCAAGTAGAACTTCCTGGAAAGACAGTAAACCTCGCCTTTGTGAAGATATGGACCCAGATTTATCCAACCTAGTGCAAGGTTTTAACAGAAAGTTATGCTAATGACTGTATCTGAGATTACTCCTCAAGTAGACTTAAAGTAAACTGCCATCCAATGATATGATTTTTTACATAAGAGACATAAAGTGTGTATTCATTAAGGGGTAGAGTCATAAAGTAACAATGTTATCAGCAGAGACAGGAAGCATGTAGGATCATATGGCCATAAACCCTTATATGTTATCAAAGTTACACTTTTACCAGCTTACTGTATGCTATTAGAATTGCACTAGGGGTCAGCGAGATGACTCACAGCTGGATTCCTGAGTCCAATTCCTAGAACTTCTATGATAAAACAAGAGAACTGAGTCCCACTCTGACCTTCATATTGACATGGTGGTGTGGGTACATGGCAAACACACAAGTACAAATAGACATAAAATATCTGTAAAAGCAGAATGGTAGATGTAGGATTTATAGTAGATACAAAGCAGAAGTCTTCAGTAGAGCCATAGCCCCAAATTAGAAAAAAACCAAAGGCATACTCCTTCAGAACAGCAGAAAACCACAAAGAAGAACACCTAAAGAAGAAGAAAAAAATTATACAACAACCATAATGGAACCACCAAAAGAGCACTAGTGAGTCTTTAAGAACCAAAATTATCTTTAATGTGAATTCTGAAATAAAGGAGATGGATTGAATGGATGTTTGAACATGCCTTACCAGCAGCTTTACCATAAATAAAATGAAGAAGGTTGGAAGAAAAAGAATGAAAATGAATGCAATTTGAAGGAAAACTAAATAAGAGGAATTGAAGCAATGGTTGTATGAGAACACAAGGTCTGAGATAAAAGACAAATGAGCTGGACCTGGTGGCTCATACCCATACACACGGAACTCTGGGAGCTGAAACAGGAGAATTGCTGTTAATGTGAGACCTGTCAGAGATACACAGTCATTTCTAGCCCATTCTGAGCTACAGTGTGAGACCTTATCTCAGAAGAAACAGATAAAGACATCATGTTGATGACAGCGTCAAATCACCCATAGAACCTATCCATGGCAAATACAGACCCAACATCAGGGCTCCTGAATATATACAAAAAATGAATAGTGGAGGCTATGAAGGGAGAGACAGGATGCAAAGAATGCCACAGCAATAAGGGACCTGCAATACACATATTTACAATAATGGACAGATCATTCGGGAAGAAAACTCATAAGCAACATTGGACTTGCTAACATATTGGGGCAACGAGATCCAGAAGAAATATACAGACTTGTGCAGGCTAAGAGTTTGTCAACTTAACACAAACCATAGTCACTTCGGCTGGTGATCCTGAGCTGTATAAGAAAAGTAAACAGCTATTGAAAGCAAGCAGTACCCCACTATAGTCTCTGCTTCAGTTTTTGCCTCCAGGTTTCTGCTTGAGTTTTTGCCCTGATTTCTTTGAATAATGAACTAAGACTCAGGTGCTGGTGGTGCACTCCTTTAATCTCAGCACTTGTGAGGCAGAGACAGGTGGATCTCCATGAGTTTGAGGCCAGCCTGGTCTACAGAGGGAGTTCCAGGACAGGCAGCAAAGCTATGGGGACATCCTGTCTCTAAACACAACCCCCCCCCAAAAAAAAACTATGAGGTGGAAATGTAAGATGAAATCACCTCCCAAGGGCTTTTGGTCAAGGTATTAGAATCAGAATAATAGAAGAAAACTGTGACAAAAATATTCTATCCAATGCAGACAGAATGCAATTCTTCCAAAACACCCACAGAACATTCTTCAGCATAGACTGCTTGTGTCGCACAAAAAAAGAACAACAAAAGTCATTTAATTTGAGAAGACTGAAATTGTACGAAGTACCTACTCTTATACACTTAAAATAAATTAAAAAATCAACTACAAGAATAATTTTGAAAAATTCAAATTCAAGGACGAAGAAACATGCTCCTGAGCACAGGTATCCCAAAGAAGAAATTAAATGGATGATCCATTGGAACAAATGAGAATGAAGTGCCTTTCCCTCTAAGGTTCCGGGAACACAGTATACGAAGTGACAGAAAGAACTCAAGAGCCCGGATACAGGGAGAATGGCTGTGAAATCCTGTTTTCTGGGCATGACACAACCATTGTAATTGTGAACTCACAGTTACACAGCAGCTGCACTTGCCTGTCTTAGGACTCCAGAGGATACCTGATCCTGGAAGGGAAGAGTTTCATGAGGCCTTTACTCCTCCCTGGTGGACCACTGGATTCCTGACGAGAGGGAGCCATTACCATCTGGTGTGCACCCTCAGGTGAGCCCAGCTCCATTGGGTAGTTCCATACCCATGGTCACACAGGTGGCTTCCATTAAACTCAGTATCTCACAAAGCAAAACAAAACAGAAATGGATATAGCTAAGGTGGGGAGTTGCAGGAGGCAGAAGGAGAAAAAATGGTAGAGAGATCAGAATATATTATATACATGTATGAAGTAGACAATTCAATTAGGAAAACAGTGCAGCATGCCAACACTTTTGTGTTAAAGTGAGGTCAACTACAAGGGAAGCTTATAGCAATAAACACCTGCATTAAAAGAGGAAAAGTTTCAAACAACCTAAGATTAAACACCAAAGTTCTCAGAAAACTTAAAGAAGGAAAGAAATCATAAGATAAAGTCAGAAGCTTGAGAATTTAAAACATAAGAAAGGTTAACAAAACTGAGGGTTTTTTTCTCAGAAAGAAAGAAAGCAAAAACACCCTAAATTGATAAACCTTCTAGCACAAAAGAATTTTTATCAATTTAAATCAATTTAAAGACTCACAACCAGAAACAAAAGAAGAAACACTCTAACAGAGACCACAGCTATAGAGCCTGTCATAAGAAACTACTGTGAACAAGTATATAAACAAGAATAGGAGAGCCAAGAAGGAAGGAACAGAGCCAGTTAAGGGGACCCAGTATTCCCTGGACCACTGCGAAAGTGACAAATAGTTAAATCTTTAAGATCGCTGTCCCTGCTGAGGGCACATTCTGTTTAGCTCCTTTGTATGCATTCTCTCTGAGGTTAAGTTTCAAATTGCAATGATGGTGATTGGTGGGACAATTTTACCCAATCTTAGCTGTTGTAGGCTTAATGCCCTGGCTTCCCTGACCTGAAGGATTGTCAGTCAGCCAGCTGGACTCCTATGTGCCGGCAACAGACATCTGGAACACTCTACAGATGCCTTGAGAAACCTACACAATGATGGTAGTGGAAATATAAAACTAAGTTTAATCCAGGTGGTACTACCACTGAATGCTGAAAACTAGCTCATAGGTTAAAGAAAATGAACACACAAATAAAGACAATGACATCTCCTGATCATGGAGTGAAAGGATCAATATAAAAATATCTATTGTACTTATAGTGATCTATTGATTTAATTAAATATGTCCTCAAATCCCAATGCCATTTGTCCTTATAGAAGGAAAAATTGCCTAAAAAATTTGTCAGCAAGATGATTGTGAGAAGTCAGAACAAAGCTGAAGCTATGACAAGACCTGACTTTAACTCTGTTCTGTATCCACAGTTACTAAACAATGTGTAGTTTGCGTGGTAGTTGCTCTACCCGTGTGCATACATTGAACAATGGGATATAGCAAAGACCCGAACACAGGCAGGTACTGGCTGCTGTTTTACAAAGGCATCCAGAATATAAAATAAGATAAAGCCATCTCTTCACTCAATTTTGTTGAGAAAATCAGATTTCTACATTCTTAAGGCCAAAATGGAGAGAAGACAAATGTAAGTTCAGAAACCCCCAATCATAAGTAGATATCATGAAGGAAAACCAATAATTCTGACCACAGAAAACAGTTCCTTAGACAGAACACCAACACCATGATTTGTAAATCAAACAATTCTTCACAGAAAGAAACCAATAGCAGGATGCAGAGACAACGGATGGAAGAGAAAGCTCTTTGTGATTCTACTATGTGACATGTGTCTATTCAAAGACCATATGAACAAATAGCACTACAATGGAGTGCCCTTTAACATTAAGAAGGAAACTGTTACTTGTACAGTATGAGGTGAGTCAGAGAGCATCATGCCATGTTAAATAGCTGAACGTAGAAAGATAAATTACATGTATTGCTGCTCATTGGAGAATCTAGATTTACTAGTAAACATACTGAAGAAACTTGCAGTAAAGAGGTTGGAGGTCAATGAATGGGGAAGATGAAGAAAAAGAGGAATAAAAATATCAGGCAGGAGGGAAATCTTTATCTTATTAGTTTCCCAACCCACAGCATCATATATATGAAAGATAAAAATCATTAATTTAAAAATAGCTGAGAGAAAATTTCAAGTCTTCTCACTGTAGAAAATGTTAAGTATTTGAAGAAACATGTGTGTTAATCAGCTGATATATTTATTAGGCATGGCATCATCAAGCAGAAAATGTGTGCACCATAGTTGGCAGGTGAAATTTATCAATTTGCAATTTAAGAAATGATAGAAAGTTTCCCTCTTTCAAAATATATCATTGTGTTCTATTCCCCATTCTGTCTTCATGCCTGCAGTTTCTCACAGGTAACTGCAACTTCAAAAAGGAATGCTGGGAAATCATCTTAGCCTCCCAGAAGGAGCAGTTTGGGCAGATGTAATTGGTACCTTTGATAGTTGGTTCTAGGATCTTAGTTAAATTAAGGAACACTTAGAAAACTTGCAGATCACACTTGTGTGTTTGTGGGAGTGTTTCCGGAGACAATTAGGTCACTATGGCTAATGTGGTTATCTAGTGTTGCACTCAATCTCTAACACACTATTGGCTGGGAAGGCGTGGCCTATTGGTAGGAAGTAGGTCACTGGGGCCATACTCAATAATGACCCGGGACTTTGCCTGTTGCTGTTCCACACAGCTTCAGCACTCACATGCCCCCATGATGCGAGCTGATCCAACTCTCCCAGCATCACAGGCTAAACATTCTGAGGCTCTGAACTAAAGTAAAGCCTCCTCCCCTTGAGTTTTGATATGCCATATTTTTTTGTTATGTAATGAGAAGTAACAATTACACCTTCTCACTAATTGCCTACTTATGGGCAGCCTGATATGCACATAAAATATCAACAGGACTTGCCTGGGCCATTTTCTGGCCACTAGAAACAACTGTGCTCATGTTTGCTGCAGATAAAGGCATGATAGACCTCACAATCCCTGTGAGAGAACTCTTACCCAATGAGTGATGGATACATAGCGCTCTATAGCTGCTGAGAGAGAAAAGTCTTAAGAAAAACACTAAGATGCATGTATCTAAGGTGGTCACATGCTAGGCAGCTCACTGGGTTGGCCACTCTCCTTTTTAAGTATCACCTCACCTCTACAGTGTTCTGTGGGACTATCTCCTAGACTAAACTGCTTGTGACCAACTTTCTCATAGGCACCTACTTGCAGAAGTAAAACTAAAGATTGCAGGACATAGGGATTCAGCTTCTAAGGCCTGCTCTTCAGCAGATTTCATATCTCTTTCAAGAGGTGGGTGAGTTGGAGGCCTAGGTGGTGAGCCTGTATCCTTCTCCCAAGCAACATGTGAGACTGAGACTCACCTCTGTGGCCACGGGACACAATCACAGATGGGGCACCAAACATCACGTCTCCCATTAAGTCCTGGAGAAGGTCTTTCTTCCTGATGGGGTTGTCTGTCCCTGATATATACTTCTCAATGGCAGCTGGAATCAGACTCTCAGAGATGTTCTAAAAGGACCAGAAAGTGATCAGAAAAGCATTTCTGAGAAAGGGAATGGGAAAGACATGGCTCATGAGACTTGCTGGTCATAACCTTTTCTTTATCAGAGCTGAGACCATTCAGGAACCTACAGATAGTAGGGGCCCATGTGTCGGAAGGACAAAGCACTCAAAGATGGTAAATATTGTGGTGCCCACCTGTCTGCTTTGCCTCCCAAAAATTACCTACAGAAGTCTTGGGTCTTTAAGCCCTAGATAACTGGGTTTTGCTGAATATAGCTTCCATCTTTTGCCAGCTTTCCAAAGGAATCTTTTAGTCAACAATATATCCTTGAAATAGTGGAATTTTTAAACAAGCAACAAATGAGTTTTTTTGCATCGTACTAAAGTGTGCAGAGTAGAAAACGAGGGCTGAAACACAAACATGAGTACTTTTAGCCAGAGAGTTAGTGTGTGTTTGGACGCAAGCACCCCCACTTCTTTGCTTCTCAGCTGAGTCCCACAGTTCACTTACAAGGATCGGGTAAGACTGCCAAAGAAGGGAAGCGATCCTCTTCTCATCCATTTTGTCTTCGGATAGTGGAAAACCTATCATCTGTTAAACACAATGATTAATATTTGTGAATCTTGTGGAATTAACAGGAAGAAACAAAAAGGTCGAATATCCAAACCAATACAGAAGGAAGTTCCTTTACCAGGCCTTGTTAGGTGTGAAATTTCATGTTTGAAGAAATAACCTATGAAAAAAATCAAGATTACATCTAGAAATATATGCAGTTCGAAAATGCACATACCAAATATATTGCTTATATTAGATATTAGAGATAGAAATCTATAGTATAGTATATATAGTTTATTAATATATAGTATATATAGTATATATAATATTATATAATAGTTTGTATTATATAAACTATCCTTCAGAGAATGAGTGGTATTAGGTTAGGACAGTGTTAGAAATACAGGGAGGATACAAGCCCTGAGTACAGCTCAGGTGTCTATGGAAGCCAGAGTCGAGTCAACCATATGGCTGAATTTCATTGATGATCTGTGCACCTCTTTTGCAGGTAGACCTGCAGAACTCGAACTTCTGCTCCCTAGATGCCCCTTATCACTCCATCTGCAACACTGTCCTCTCCATGGACCCTCCCAGCCTTGGAATTTTAGACTCCTTAAGGAAGTACAGCGTCTAGGGAGAGGGTTTTCCAGGGCTGTAGTTCCCAGAGGGCAGTTGGGCCATGCTGGAGAATCTTCCCATGGAAGTATGCCAGTGGTGATAGTTTCTCTGGTCTGATTGGAGACTGTGACCAGAGAGCACGTAGGATCAAAGAGGTGGGTTGTGTGGACTGAGGCTCTATGGGTACCACTAAGAGTCCTATATGTTCTCACCATAGGCATGCTCCAGCCAAACTCTTTCTTAGTGATGCCCACCATGTAGGGCACAGTGTTGAAGCTCTTCTCAGCCAGGATCTCTTCTGGTGCCTTTGGCAGCACCACTCCATCAATCACAGTGGGAAGCAAAAAGTAGCTCTAGGGAGGAGAACAATGCAACATCTGTGATTACTCTTTCCCAGCTACGACCAGGCTCCACTTTCTGCCCATCTCAGCGCTTAGCCAACACACGGACTCATGCGGCTGTGCCAGAGGAAGTCGGGGTCCTAAAGGGGCAACATCTATGAGTTGTTAAAAACAGAAGTGTGCCAGGGGAGCCAGAAAGAATACTGGCAGGGAATGGGTATTGTGGGAATTGGTCTTGAGCAAAGTAAGATATATATGCATGTGTATAACAGATCATATGCAATTTTACATATGTATGTAAAATTGTACATAATTTGAAATTATAAATATAATTAATAAATTTTATACAGTTGTATGTGTGTAGTTTAAGTGGCCCCATTTGAACACTTTGACCCCAGTTGTTGACACTTTTGTGGAAGCTTTAAAAGGTATGGACTTGCTATAGGGAGGATGTCAACCACAGGAGAGCTTAACAGTTCATCACTTCTAGTTTACACTGTCTACTTCATGCTTGAAGGTGAAAGTAAGAACGCTCAGCTTCAGGCTCCTGATGCCACGACACCTACTGGTTGTTCCTTCCACCCTGCCATGACCCGACACATTGCACCAGAATGCCTTGCCTATGCTGTGGTCACACAGTGGTCTCTGCATGGCCCCCTGCCCCTTCTCTATAAGCTATTTTCACGTCAAAGGGATGTTTGCAAACTCGACACGTTTCACTGCTCCTTTTAGACCCTTCTGGATACCCATCTCTCATCTTTAGTCTCGGCCCTTGTCTTTCAATAGCTAACCCCATCTTAACCTCTCCAGCTCCCCAGACTCAAGCCTGTTTCTGTCCTGGCTGTTTCTACTTCAAACACATTGTCCTCCTGTAACCGGCCTCTTCAGCTATAGGGGAAAATTGCTAGGTTTTAGTTAGCTGACTTCATTTCCCTCTAGCATGACTTGGCTCTTTTAACCATGACTTAAATCTGCTATTTACACAAACCATTCAGCAGCTCTCTCTCCTCTGCCACTGCCAGAAACACAACATGATTTACCAATTTGTTTTCCTGATACTACGCCCCACCGGAAGAGCAGTTTCTAAGAACGTAGGAAATCTTGTCTATTTAATGCCCCAGCTCCCAAATCCTTCCTTCCACATAGTAAGAATGGGGATTCCACAGGGAGGGAACAGAAGGGACAAGACTGGAGATGCTACATACCTGACATCACCAGGTCCTGGTCAGAGCTTAGGAGGGAGAAGGACAGGGAGAGGAGAGGCCCCACTCGTGTATTCTGGATGCTGGAGCAGGGCAATATCCTCATCACCGAGGTCTCAGTCAGGCCCCTCTCATACATCTACCCTTTACCATCCCTTGAGAACTGTGCTCCTAGGTGAGGGCTCCTGGACTCTTAGCTAGTCATCTCAGCCATTGGAAAGTCTGGTTCATCCTTCCCTGACAGTGTCATTTTAGAGGCAGGAAATGTGTGCTGGAGGGGGATAGGTGACTCTAGGAGACACAGTTGCTGAGGACAAGAACTGAATTGGGAATCAGCTACCCTGTCCCTGGTTGCCATGGCTGTATTACCCGAGCTAGTGACTTTCCCTCACTGGGTCTGAGCAGAAAACACATAAGGGACAGTAGAATTCTACAAAGGAGCGTCCTTTCTTTGGGATTTAATTCATAAGATTCAACACTCACAATAAAGAAAGCAAAGGCCCTTACCTCTCTGGGGTCTCCAACAAAATCAAGAGAACCAAACTTCTGTGGAGAAAACATCAGAGAAGGTGGGTGAGGAACTTCCCTTAGAAGCAGATCCTTTTGAGTTTCAGCCTAAAATATTAGGTCCTTTCTCCTGATTATTCCTTGGTGGGAACAGAATTAGAGGACCCTATGCTGTGTCCTCAGGGTCTGGGCATAAGGTGCAGCAGGATGGATCAGGGGCAGCAGCAGTGACGAGACAGGGCCTGGGACCCACTCAGGGTCTCCAGGGCAAGGAGAGGATGTCTCAGGCCTCTGACTGTGATCTCTATTTTTTCATCTCTCACCATCATCTGCTCTCTCCAGCACAACACCCTGTTGGCTCTCGTGGAGAGCATAGTTATTAAGTCAAGTTGATGGTAGGGGTGCACAGTATCCAGAGTCTACAGGCGGGATGGACAACAGAACCTCATTTTCCCTCCACCGCATTGTTGCCTTTTGCCTTCCTTCCTCCAGCTCCAGAAATGCAGACAACTGAATGCAGGAGCACAGTGTCCAGCAGGTGTCCTGCCTGGATTAATGCAGTGATGGAACTTCCCAGTTGGTTTTTCTTTTCCTAATGTCTTCCGTCTCTTACAGTCTGCTTCATGCAAGTCAGAGATCTTGGTAAAACTCTGCCTGGGAAGCTAAGTATACCTTTAACATTACTGCTGAATATTTTAGTATAGTTGCCTCCCATGCATGTAGAGTGTTAATCTAGAATTCTAAGGTCTTTAACCTGCTAAGAAAGCAAACTAGTTTAGAGAGAAGACTCCCACACCCTTCTTCAAATTCAAATGGGAAGGAATGGAGATAGACACATTCCCAACAAAGTGTCTAGATCCTGCCACATCCTAAGCTATTTGTTCCAGGATATTTTGATTATTTGAAAATTCTGTACAACACACTTCTTCTTTCATTCAAGGTATCTTGAAGATTGTTCTCATCTGAGATGAGAGAACCCCAAATCCTGCACTCACACTGAAACATTTGCATCCTGGCCTTTTCTTGGCTGTGCTCAGAAAATCATTCAGTGTATGTTCTCATGGTTTCCCTTTTAGCTCCCCTCTGTATGGGTCATAAATGGACGGACACACAGACATCACATGGATGTATAGATGTAGCTGGTCAATACATGTACTGTTTATTTATGTGAATTCATTGAAAATGCAGATGAAAAGGAAGAGGTAGATATTTAACAAACTATTGTTTTGGAGGTCTGACAAAGATATGTTAGTTGAGATTGACTGAATGATTCCTGGATAATGATTAATTAGACTGGAAAAGGATTAATTCAAAGTTTTAGATGCATCTCTACTAGACTTATGAAAAAAGTGATGAACAGGATTTGGTTATGAAGATGAATTGATAGTTCAGAGATAATTTGGTAGGGAGTCTGATGGCAATCCTAGTACTTTAATTGAGTATCTTTGAAATCTAGAAAACTATTACTGTGTGTTTGTTTTCTACACCAACTGGCATAAATTGTGACATTTTCCTTAAATGTCTTCTGCTGGATGTCTCATCCCCAAAACTCAGGTTGATAGTTATATGTGCGAATAGGGAACATTTTATATCTTAAAATATGAAAATGGTAATGTTAAAATATTGCACAATTCAAATTCTTCATCTACAACTATTTCAGGCCTAACTCATTATACAGCAAGATCCTAAATTAAATTACTGCAGGGTTTTCTAAGTTTAAAATCCACACACAAACAAATGATTATGGTGCTTTCTGTTTAACTGCAGTGAATTCTCAAGCTCTATCTCCTAGCATTTGCACTCATGGCTAAGAATAAGGATCACCAGGTAATATGTGCTTCAAACTTTCCTTTCTTATGTATGGGAGACTTGAAGACCACGCTTAGTCAAGGAGTCAGTTATTCTCTGGCGAAAAGTGCTCTTGGCTCAAGACAGTCCCCATGGGCAGACTCATCATTTGACTATTGCCACCTTCCAGAACCCTGACTTCTCACTGGTTTTATTGAAAACTGCAATCCTCACAGAACCCAGCTCCAAGCTCCTTGAGCCTGGGCTTTCTCACTGCTGAACTCCTTACACAGTATGCCATTTCTCAAAATACTATGTTTTGATAAAGTAGGGGGGCGGGGTCTGTCATGTAATTTCTCATCATGTTATTGGCTTTCTGATATTTGAATATTTCACAACAAGAAAGAAATTAAAAATTTCTCAACTTAGATGGAAGGTTGACAGTTCTGAGAGACAGGAAACTATTTAAGGAAATACGAAGCCAAAACATAGCTGAACACATGAAACCTTGGGTCAGGTATACAGGGTGGGGCTTCTAGGATGGACACACTCACCATTTTCTGAGTGACCTCCAGGAGCTCATCCTCTGTCTTCTGGCGCAGGCAGTGAACCATGATGGCTGAGGTGGTGGTTTTACAGCCAGCAACAGCAGCCACTTTCTGTAAGAGATTAGGGGTCAAAAGCACATCCTTTCCCTTCCTCAATGCAGAGAGTGGATTGATTCTACCATTTCCTAATTTCTAAATCAACAGATGACTGATGACAGAATTTTAGACCAGCAAATCCAGAAACTGAGTCCCGGAGTGTAACTTCTTTTACTAAGTAGAACACTAACTGGGTCTTATTATACAATCTCTATGCCTCTGGTGCCTGATCAAATGGATCTAATTTCTCTCCCCCAAAACACAAGAAGAACTTAATGTTCTCAAAATCAAATGTGGCTACAGAAACTGTTTTCACTATCTGGTTTCAGATCCCACCTCTGACACACTGTTGTCTTAGATAAGTCATGCATTCTTTCCGTGTCTTTCTTTCTCTTCTCCCCTCACAAACAAGGGTGATGCGCAGATGGTATGCGCAGGAGATGATGGCGTCTTAGAGACACTGAAACGTGGGCAGAATGGCCTGAGGTTACACATGAAGTGTAGTGTGTCCTTAAAGCAGTAGCCTTTACTGCATACCCATTCTCGCTCAGGGATCCCTGGAGCACCTCAGCTGAATCCTACAGCAAGAAAGACACTTGGGGTTCCTGGAGAGCACAGGAAGGGGCACAGGAGTGGTCCAAAGTGACACATACCTTTGCTAGAGGTCTGGCATCTCTCCCATACAGGCAAGGATTAAGGGCCACACTGCTCTGGGAAATGGCCCTGTGGAAGAGGTTCTTGGCCAGGGGAGACAACACCTGGAAAGAAAAGAGTTTATGCTCATGGGGGAAGTCAGTAACTCACTCATCTTTAGGATTCTGTTCACGTGCTCTTTTTTTAAATTATTTTTATTTGATTATTTTGCATACCAACCACAGTTTTCTCTCCCTCCTCTCCTCCCCTTCCCTCTCCATTCCCATCTACCCCCTCCCCATCCACTCCTCCTGTCTCCATTATGAAAGGAGCAGGCCTCCCATGGGCTTGAACAAAGCATGGCAATAAGGTTGATGCCCTTGATCACTTGATGCCCTTTCCCCTGCACCAAAGTTGGGTGACATAATCCAGTATGGGGAACAGGTTCACTGAAGCCAGCTGAGCATCAGGAACAGGTTTAATCCCACTTTTAAGAGCCTTACAAAGAGACCAAGCTACACAACTGTCGCACACATGCAGAGGGCCTAGATCAGTCCCATGCAGGCTCCCTAAGTCCTGGTCTAGAGTCCATGAACTGCCATGAGCTCAGGTGAGCTGTCTCTGTGGGTTCCCCTGTCAGGTGCTCTTTTTAACCCAGCCATTCACCTGGATTATCTGGTGCTCTGTGGAGTTAGAAACACTTACAAGAACAGAGACACTGAAACCTCCTGCTGATTCTCCAAAGATGGTCACAGAGCTTGGGTCTCCTCCAAAGTTGGCAATGTTGTCCTGGACCCAGTGCAGTGCAGCTATCTGGTCCAAGTGACCCCAGTTCCCCCTGCTGTGTTCATCGCCTGTGCTGTAAGACAATGGTGAGTTGGAACAGAGATGTCATGGCTGTTCTCTGAACTAGGGCTCTTAGTGTGCTCTCTGAACTAAGGCTGGGCTCCATATTATCAAGAGGAGCACTCGTTTATCCACTCATCACTACAGTGGTGGTCTTTGTGGTCCCTACCGTCACCATCCGGGTACTATGTACTCAGGGACCTCCCAACATGCACACAACCAGGGTCTAAATGCTAGGGCTCATCTAAAAACAAACAGAGAAAATCTCTAACTACAGTTGTCTCTTAATGAAGTACATAGAGCAACAGAAGAAATAAATATAGAAAAAGATAGTGGAAAAATAAAATTGGGTCTAAAGGAAATGGGGTGTTAGGATGGGACATAAAACACAATGGTAGCATGGTAGTTTAGATTGCATAGCCAGAAAAGACCTCGTTAGTCAGTGGCAGTTAGCAGAGGTCTGAATAAAATGAAGGAGTGAGTCTTGCAAGCATTGGAAGAGGGAGCTGGAGCAGGGAAAGCATGGTTACAAGGACCGCAGGAACAGAAGCGTGAGAGATGCTGGTGTGAGATGCAGGAGGGATGGGTACTGTGGCTTTGGCAAAGACTTCTATATCATTGGAAGTAAGACAGAACCATTGTGCAGAGGAATGACAGGACTTAATGTGTCTTACAGAGCTGGCTCAGTCCTGTACAGAAAAGTTGTAGTATTAAAGTAATAGACCTATAACAGTAGATGGTTATGATGGTTATCAGTCTAGATGCATGGGACTTTGACTAGGGTTGGAGCAAGGACTTGTATTGTTCATTAGGGTTTGCAGATGGTTTGCCCACCAAAGGTCCAGTTCCATGCCCTAGTCTGTCTTGTGGCCTTATCAGGCAGTGAGGGGACCTGTGAAAGCTGAGACTCAGAGGAAGGTTCTTTTGATCTCTGCAGACACTGCCCTGGGAAGGAATTAAACCAGTTCTCTGTGACCCGGTTGCTCCCCAGAGAACTAGTTAATCTTTTAAAGCAACATTACTCCTTTCTTTGGGATCCTTCTCCCACCATATCATCTGTCTGCACAATCAGCTTCTATTTTTATTTATGTACCATGCATTGACACAACCAGAGTCTCCCAACAATGACTCATTTGATGAAACCGTACAATCTTGGGCTTTTAGCATCTCTAGTTCAAAGGTAAGTAAGTTAGGAATCTCTATAGTCACATATCCCGTGCCGTTTGCTGCAGTAACAGAAAGCACACGGACCCAGGGACTAATGTGTAAGTCAGAATGTTGGGTATCTCACCTGAACAAGCCCCAGATGCCCAGGCGGTACTGAATGGTCACTACAACCACATTTTCATGAGCCGAGAGGGGCAGTCCATCGTAGGTGGATGCCCCATCCACTACTCCACCTCCATGGATCCACACCATCACCTGGACAAGGAGAGAATAGCTACACATGCATCGCTACATAAGCTACAGCCCCAGCCTGGGGAGTTCTGGGGAAGAGTGGCACTTGGCATTTCTATGGCACCTCTGCGAATGGGTAATGATGAGACACATCTTCCCCAGTCTTCTGATTATCACAGAGCCCTATGGGGCTTCTGAGACATATCTAGACCCAAGGGTTGTGTGCCGTTGGCAAGACATGGCCAGATGGGATGGACAATCAAGTTTATCTTGGTTCATTGAGGAATTTATCATCACTTGGTCTCTTGCATTTAACTTGTTTGGAGAGGAAATGGACTGCTAGGGCTTTGCAGGGGCTGAGGATTTATCCTGAGTGGAACTACATGATCATTGTGAAAACACCAAAAAGATGATCCATGGGGACTTAGGATGCATGAACCTTGCACTGGAATTTGCTTTGGGATGTCACTGTGGACCTTCAAGCGTGAGAATGTATGGATTCATGGGTTTCTAAGAGCAATAGGGTTTCCATGTGCTAACAGGCTGGCGAGACTGGACTATTGGATTTACATACAAAGAAAATCCTGAGCAAAGCCTGAGAGACTTAAAAGAACTGAGGGTCTGGAACCCTGTTTTCTCCTTCGGAGCTGAACTTGTGGTGGTATCACTGTGCTCTCCCTCTAGTCCTTGGAACATTCAGAAGAGGGAGGCAGGGCAATCTCCAGCAGGGGTACGGGTCTGTGCAAATGTACACATTTGAGTGTATGTCTATGTTCAAATGTGGACATGTGGAGGCCAGTGGCCAGCCTTAGGTCTGGTGTTGGCACCCTGCTCAATGTTTCTTGAGGGAGGGTCCCTTCAGCAGGATCTAGGACTTGGTACCTCCACTGGACCCTAGAGAACCACAGATCTCTTTTCCCTGACCAGAGATTACAGATCCTGCTTTCTCTTGGGTTTTGGGAATCAAATGCTGGTCCTGAAGTACTTCTCAGACTGTACTCGCTTCCCATCCCTCAAATTCCAAAACAACTCATTCCCATGGTCCTTCTAGGAATCATTTGTGCATATTAAAATCATGTTATTTTATAATCCAATTAAAGAAACTTTCTATGAAAACTTCAAATCTAATGAGAAAATTGTGTTTTGTTTCTAATATAACATTCGTGTTAGTCTGACTGTCATTATGAATAATTTCTTAATAGTCATATTAGTCAAATTGCAAATTCTTAAAAATAAAAGAAATTTATTTGCACACTAGCAGTATCTACTGAAGTCCCCTATATATTGGGACTATGCTGAATATATTGAATCAAATCTATTCAAAATTTAAAAGGTTCATCACCTGGTTTGCTCTTTTTTCTCTTACATTCAACATTGAGTTTCATGCAAATTAGCCTATACCTACTGTGGGGATCAAATTCTCACCATAATAATTCCATCTAGTCATTATTACTGGTCATATTACTTTTAGTGTGAGAGAACTTGGAAGATTAAGGTGTGCATCTCAGAGGCAGGGCAACCTCAACCAAGGTCTGTCGTCACTGGGCTTGCGACTCAGTTCTTGTCTATAGTACTCCTGCCCGCAGCTTCCCCCATCCCCCTTCCAGTGCACAGAAGAGATCGATGCTGGAATCCACAGGTCAGGACCAGTGATCCACGGGCTTACCGGCAGCCTTGTGCTTTTTGTCAGGTCGGCAGGAGTATAAATGTTTAGGTAGAGACAGTCTTCCGAAAACTGGAGAGGGATGCTCTCCTTTCTGTTGGTGAAGAGTGCTGAGAGGAGCTTCCCTGCCGCTGGGTCTTGGGAGCACCTGGGAAGGAAAGAGGACACCCAAATTGCACCAGGTTGACACTGGTCATGTTGTCTGAGGCCCAACCTTGCTTGCGCTGATGGTTTATCTTGCTGATGGAGCATCAGTGACTAAGGCAGCTCCTGAAGGGAATCCCATGGTTCTATAAATGCCTCCTAACTCTGAACAGGGAGAATGAGGTGGCACTTCTCACTGTCTCAGAGCTTCGGATAACTTCCACATCTCCATCCTGGGATGTTTCCCAAGACCACCAAGAACAGGAGCATAATATTCTTCAGAATAGGAAGAGAAATTAAGAGTTCAAAATGGGTGAAGAGATCAGCTTTACTGGTATTTAGAGACATGCAGCATCGCAATTTTTATTGTTGTGATTGTTGCTGTGTTTCCCAACAGACAAAATCATTCTTTCAGTATATTTATTATTTGGGAATGGCTTGCTAGATAACATTTTTATATTTCTATGAAAAGAGAAATTTCCATATATATGGGAATTTCTTTTACTTTAATTTTATTTTATTTGGTTTTATCCTAAGTCCCTGGGCTATCTAGTCTCTGGTTCTTGGCCACCCAATCAGTGTTGGTTATGGGTTCCACCTCATGGAGTGTGTCTTAAATCAAACCAGATATTGATTCTTCACTCCCATAAGCTTTGTGTTACTTCTACAACAAAATACCCTGCAGACATATTGCCATTGTAAGGTGGGGTGGTTTGTAGCTGGGTTGGTGTTTACTTTTATCCTTTGAGAGGATGCAGAGGACCTTCCATCCCAGGAACACTAGTCTGACGGGGTGAGGGCTTTATGTAGGCTCCAGTTCAACTTCTCCACATTCAGTGAGTTATGTCGGTATTGTCTTCAGCAATTGGGCTCTACTGTCAGTGTGTGGAGAGCATAAACAGCCTGGGTTGTTTTACAGTTCACTAGGGATCCCCTTAGACAACAGCTAGAATAGATGGAACCCATTTCTGGAACAGGAATCTGTATTTGGTTATGAGAGGTGTCTAGTCAGGGCTCTGTCTCTCCTGTTATTTGGTAATTTCACTTAGATTGCCTTATAGGTATGTACATGAAGAAGCTTCTACTCTGTTAGGTTTCCATACTGCTCCTAAAATGGAGCCATAAAAGGGCTTCCAGTTTTGTTTTTGTGGAGTTCCCATGTGTGTGAGCATGTGTTTCTCTGTACTTATAGTTCCCATGTGTGTGAACATGTGTTTCTCTGCACCTATAGGTGTTACTCACGCTTTTTCTTTGGCTCCTTTTCTTCTGTTTGTTTGGTCCTATTCCAATTTGTTGTTTCTGTTTTATCTTACTGCACTTTATCATTTATTTCTTAGATGCTTGTTTGTTTTCTAACAAGAGACAGAAAGATTATGCATCCAAAGGAAAAAGGAGGGAGGGGCTGGGAGGAGTTAGAAGAAGGGAAACCATAATCAGGATATGTTATATAAAAATCTATTTTCAATAATAGAAAAAAGTGATCAAAATTTAAAAGAAAGTATAGGCAATCATAAGATCCCTTTGACTCATCCCTGTACCACAATGAGACAGACATCTCCACTTAAAGAGACCCAGGCTCACCCCAGTAACTTACATAGGAGGGTAGGAGGTGGCATTCTTCACGAAGTTCCAGGGATCTGCAGGCTGTGGTGGAGCAAACCTCAGGGAGCCAAGAGGGGGCTTGGCAAAGGGGACTCCCAGGAAGACGGCCACAGGCTGTTTGAATCCTTCTAAGCGGACATATTTCCCCAGGACTTTGCCATGTATGGTGTTTACCACGGGTGGTGAGGATGGGTGTCCTGATAGACAAAGAGAGGACCAAGAGGCCTCAATCCCACACAAAGCATGACAAGAAACTAAGAAACACTCGGAGCGAAAGAAATAGTCTTCCCTACCCTACAACAGATGGGCACAGGCGATCGCTTCCTATGTATAACCCCAGCAGCACAGACATTAAGGGCAACATTGAATAAATGGGACCTACTGAAACTGAGAAGCTTCTGCAAAGCAAAGGACACTGTCACTAAGACAAAAAGGCAACCCACTGACTGGGAGAAGATCTTCACCACCCCCGCAACAGACAAAGGTCTGATCTCCAAAATATATAAAGAACTCAAGAAACTAGA